ATATACATCATTTGATTTAATAATAACCCAATTTGAAGCAAAAACAGAATGTTCTGACTAGCTTTGTGAAATTATACTACATGCCTGAACGAAACAAACAGCAGAAGCTCTGAATGAGACGCAGATTCACTCTCTGACAGCAGGAAGCGCTTCTGGAACACCACATACAGCGTTTCCTTGGTTACTGCTGTAAACAAAGCAGCTGCCTGAAACACTGCTTTAATATGAACTATACAGAGATGTGATTAAAAGAAAATGCCACGTAAAGTTTTCTAAAGACAGTCAGTTCCCCTCATATAAACCCCCAAATCAATATTGAGGATTTTCTTCCAATAGTTCGTGCATCATGAACAGTGAGTGATCTTCCTGCTACAGTATTTTTCTCTGTGCGTCCGTCTTCAGCGTCTCTGGCCTGTGTTAACGGGCGTTTACAGACTTCATATTTTCACATAAATTACATTTTGGAAAACGATTGCATTGCAGCGCAGTTTGTGCAAGTTCAGAACAGAGACGAGTTGCTTGCAATAAGACAAAAAACGGCCGGTTGCCGATCGCGTAAGTTCCAGGGGAAGCTCCTTAGTTTGGCCATCCTACACACACGTGACTGACCGCTCGCTCACACCAACAGGAGGAGGAGGTCGTGTTACTCTCTACACTGCACTCAACCTGAGGGATTCCTACACTTTCAGCCTTTGAGGAGACATGAAAAACAGCGCATACCACAGGAACGGTATAACGGAAAATATTAGCGGTTTTGAAACCGTGAAATTTTCAAATCGCGGTATACCTTGAAACCAGTAATCGGCCCATGCCTAGTCATGTTGAATTATCTTAATATGCAAAAAAGCTGGTTAATCACCAAACACTAGGAACAGAACAAAGGAGCTACCTTAGTGCACAGGTCTGCTTTGGGTTCAAGGTCGTCCATAGTAACCAGGTGCTGAAGGAAGCTACTTTCCAGGAAGCCCATCTGAGCATCACCGTCAAATCGTGCTTGGGGATTGGTCAGTATCAACCTCAGGGACACTGCAAAACCAGCCATGTCGATGGGGAATGGGCGGTTGGGATGCCAACCAGTGTGGAAACGCACAACCTTCCCATCCTCCACCACGGGCCGCTCAAACTTCATCCCGCCCACCAGACCCACAGGCCACACAGAGACACGGTATGTGTACCGTATCTGAGGGTGTAGGGAAGGAGAATGTGAATGGACAAAAAGTGCCAGATAATGACACAGAAACATATCAGGAGACCTTCTGTTCATATGTCCATAGACAAAGACTATGTACAGACTAAAACCGGTTTTGTGAAGGGTTAATTTGATTACATCTCCAAAAGAGAACATCTGACACATCTGTTACACCTCAATACACCTGAAGCACAGCTCCACCTGGAGGTTTAACCAGTAAACCCTCATGGAATGACTCGAAATGATCTCATGTTCAGTTTTCACTGCAGTTCTCCAAAACAATATGTGACAGTTTGCTACAAACTTTTACATCTGTGGAAGTTTAACATTTAAATCTAGCAATAAACATTTTATTAGTACCATTTTCTACATATCAGAAGAACAGAATTAGAAAAAAAAGCACATTGAGGCATAGAAATTATGTAGTGATAAAACAATTTTTGTTAATTATTAATTTAATTTTTAAAAATTTACATTGTAAAGGAAATAATTTGTAGAAACAGTTTTCACAGATACAAACAGATTTTCTCACAAAACTAATTTTAGACATTAAAGCAAAACAGTTAAGCCTTTTGAGCAAGAAAATTATGAGAAACATGAATTCATTCAACGGTGTCCAAACATTTGACTCATACACAAGCATTCAAAAGTTTGGTTCAGTAAGATTAAAAAAAAATAAGAAATTAATACTTTTATTCAGCAAGGATGCATCAGATAAATAAAAAGTGACAGTAAAGATCTTTATAATGTTACAAAAGTTTAATATTTCAAATGAAGGCTGTTCTTTTGAACTTTATATACAGCAAAGAATCCTGAAAAATGGTTTACACAAAAATACCTGACAGCACAACTGTTTTCAAAATTGATAATAATAAGAAATCAGTATATTAGAATGATTCCTGAAGGATCATGTGACACTGAAGACTTGAATAACGGGTGCTGAAAACATCAAAGGAATAAATTACATTTTAAAACATATTCACAATTTCACAACCAATAAAACAATATTTCACAATATTACTGTTTTTTTGATCAAATAAATGCAGCCTTGTTGAGCAAGAGACCTTTTTTCAGAAACATTACAACAAAAAAAAAGAATCTTACCAACCCCAAACTTTTGAACGGTAGAGTATATTTAACCACTAAAAACACCTTACCTCTTCAAAAAGCTGCAGGCTATATGTATTGTCATCATCAGCAAAGTACACCACAGCCTCCTCAAGGGCAGCCGCTTCCTTTCCCTCAGCAGCAGCGCCCATCTCCCTGAGCCAGCGCAGACCCTCGTTCCTCTGCTCAGCACCCCGGGGCTTCAGCCAGCTGGGATCACCCTCCTGCAGCTTCCTGTCTTTGGGGGTCAGCTTGTGTAGATGGGCGTAGGTCAAGCCAGATGCAGCCAGGAAATCTGTGACGAGCGGAGTTGGCTGAGGAGCGTCCTCCACCACGATCCAGTGCAGCTGAGGAACATGGAGGAAGGTGTGAGACAAACGAGTGAGCTCAGCCTTCTGCACCAGTCTGGAGAGAGGAGGAAGAGGGAGAAAGAGTGAGATTAAATTTCATAGTTTGGGGTGACTATTTTTTATTCTTATCTCCATAATGAGGCTGAATGTTTGCATGTTTTGGGGATATTTTAATGTCTAAGGGTCCATTCACACAGAACACTTTTTTTTGCACAAAAAAGCAATGAGATGCAGGGCAATGGAAGAGAAAAGCTCAAGGCTTAGAGATGCATTTTTTTTTTTTAAGTTTAACTTCTTTTTACTTGAGCTCCACCTTCTATAGAACAGCATGTCATGTGCAAGACACTGCAAAAGACACAAGACTCAAAGTCTGTCTAATACATGTTTGCATAAAAAAACTATGGAAAAGCTGTGGAGCCCAGCACATGACATGCAGACAAAACATATTTATATAAACACATATAATGAAAAATTTGTTCCCACATTATAATTAAATTGTGGCCACGCACCTCTCAAACATGTTTGTTTAGCACATGCTTACAACAATGCAGAAGCAGCACAGTTAAACGCAAAAATGTGTTCTGTGTGAACGGCCACCATTCAAAATGTATCTATAATCAGTATTTGCATACAGCATAACGATTGCTCTTTGCTTTGTTACATTTATAAACACACACCTGCACACTAAAGAGACATGAGCAGATAGATCATATTAATGAGAAAATCTGACACATTTCCATAATTGACTTCTTTTGAACAGAATGTCGCAAAGAATCAGTTCAAAATGATTCAGTGATTTTTTAATGTCATGGCATAATTACATCATCACATAATTCCTTACATCCCAACGTGCATATGTTTTAAAACATTCCAATAAAGTAGTCTCATGTAGGCACATATTGCTATTTATTTATTTGATTATGTTTTATTAATAATGGTATTTGTAATTCCTTTGTCCTAGTTCAGTTTGTTGCAGCCACCACTGAGCTAAAATATTTCAGAATATAAAGTCATTTTAAAGTAAAGCAGTCTCTTGCCTGAAGAGGGTTTTGCATGCTAAACTCATCACGAATTGAATATGTCTGAAATAGATGGTTCTTAGATGAATGAGTAAATGAGTTATTAACCGATTCAGTAACTGATTTGTGTGTGGTCAAATCGTTTAGACCTGTTTTGCAAACTAAATAATTGAAAACATTCGACTCATCGCTTGTAGGGCATATTAATAAAACAAGCCATGTTACAGTATGTGTTAACTGTGTCATGAAATTGCAATATTTAAGACGTCTCTGGTGCAGCTTTTCAGATCCTAAAAGTACCTAAATTATTAACACTATTCAACTGCTGCCTCGCAAGCATTTATATTCTCTTCAGCAAAACATTCTGAATTAATGACATTACTGCACTACTGTAATCTTGCAAAAGCTGTCTACATACCTTGCATATGTGGGCGTTATCACATAAATTTTGGGCACATCAGTCTTCTTAGACAGCTCTGATGTTTTGATGTGTTCCTGCAGCTTCTGCAGCTCTCCTCTCAGCTGAGAGATCTGCTGATCTTTAGACATGGCATGACCTCTGCAGTCACAGCGCTGACCTGCACAGAACAATCAGTGTCGTGCTCAAAAATGAATGATTCAAGGTTGAATGAACAAGGTAATGCTGATAGTGATTCCAGTCTTACCCAACTGCATCAGCGCATAGATGAGTCCTAGTAGTGACACCATGAAGTACAGGACAAACACAGTCTTCAGCTTCAGTCTCATTCTCATGATGACCTGCTGCTGATGCTGAAATCAACACTGATGGAGGACGAGGAAACCGCGGATCATGGACACAACCCAAGTGAATGCATCATGACAACAGCTTGGTTTGGAAAAATAAGAGATGCTTTTGCAGATTCCCAAATACAGCCAGTGCATCCAGTGGCAATTAGATCAGATATCTTGATTTTAATTGGTTCAGTTGCAGTATATATATA